ATCTGTAATTTTAGAAATGATATATAGGCTATTTCATATCCATTTCAATGTTTAAAATAGTACATATATGTACTGTAAAGAATAGTTGAATTTTTTTGTTGAATTGGGGAAACATTTTATACATCACTTATAATCCAGTTTCATAATTTTTAATTAAAAAGCTTGTTAAATTGGAGTTTATCGCCAAACGTTACTCTTAGGTATTTCACAGATTTTTGGATTGTGTTTCAACACATGATATCCAGATAATAAAAACTAGGATTCGTATTCATAAAACGGAACAGAAGGTTGCCGTATTGTCCTCTTTTCAATGCCAACATCTCTTCCATTCGAGCTTCATAATTCATGTGGCATTGAAATGCTAGAATTGATTTAATCTCGAGCAGAGGTTTCTTGCCTAGGGTTTCCTTCGAGCTACTCCCCTCGTACATTCTTAAGACGGTGAATCCCTTGAGATAGTAAGTTCCAAATTTATGTAAATCCTGATGTGACTGTTTCAATTAGCGCGCCCCCCGCAACAATTTGTGGCTGCGTGCCTGCGGTTCCTCTGAGGGATTAGTTCCTCAGGGGTTTGGTAACGTGTTCCGTTTACTAATTTGTAACTGGTCTATAGGTAACCTGTTCCAATGCTAGCTGACTATTTTTTGAAAGGTATAGATGGTACGCTGTATTTATAAAAATGTTTTGAAACGAAAATGCTTTGCGAAACTAAAGTGTTGGAACACAGCCTTCTCCCGGAATGATTGTTTCTCCAAATATTTTTCAGTACAGCCTCAATTAAAATATTATAGCTATAGAATACTGCCCCCATCAAGACTTCTCTTCCTCTAAATTAATTTTGGTTTTTACGAGCGAGTTTTACTTACATTATACTTTCTTTTCTGCATTTAACATTAACTATTATATGCCTTGATTCGGGAGGTTTGGTTATTTTGATGTTGCACCGGAAAACATGACTTTTGTTATCCGTCGCTAATATCCAGTAGGACATATTGTAAAAAATATTCAATCTTGCGTTTAAAACTTCGAGATCGCCCACAACGAATACGGTGGCACTTTCTGCTGCAACCGATTCAAACCACTCTGTGAAGCATGACTCATCGGCATTTCACGCTTTCCAGCTCAATGTGACAAGCGGTTTCCTCCGATGCAATAGTGATATTTCTGCCTCTCTTCATGGGCATATAATTTGATTTACCATACAGGTTCTCCAGTGACTAATAGGACGCTCTGATTCGTCGTTATTCTGTTTGTTAACACGATATCATCCTGATGGAATGGTTGATGATCGAGGTAAGAAAATGGTTCTAGATTGTTGAGACACCTGCCGGATCCGGTATCCTGATTAGCTATTATGCAACGGATCTAGCAAACAAGATCGGAAGGAGCAGAAAAAGACAAACAAGACCGAAGATAAAGAAGGACCGGCGAGGAACCGACCAGCCAATTAAAGTTGATCTCCCTTCGTCGCACCTACTCCTTTATTCAGGATCGTCTCCTCTCCTTTCGAAAATTACAATTGGGCGTTGTAATTGATTAAAGAATTATTATTCTTTCTCATTGAAAAAAAAAAAAAATTATCAACCACTTGGTTTGACAAAATTCTAATTGGTGTGACATTCATTTTAATATTTTTTTTTTTAAATTTCTTGTATTGATATTTTATTCCGCTATCAATAAAATTTATGTCGTATTAATTAATTTTTTACATGGTGATAATAATAATCTGGGAAATAAGAAACACTTTGCCAATCAAAATGAAAACAATCATTCAATGGAATTGTAACAGATTTTTCCGACATTTAGAGCACCTAAAAATGACAATAAGCGAAGAGAACCCTATTCTAGTTTGTCTCCAAGAAACACACTTACAAGAAACTCAAACAGTGAGATACAAAGATTACGACATATACCGAAAAGCAAAAGATCGTCATGGGAAGACTTCGTATCTTCATTAAATCAAAGCATTTCAATGAAGGAGCTCTGGAATAAAGTGAAAAGCATTAAGGGGATCTCCAAAACAAAGAAATTGCCTGGTATAAAGAGTGGACAAGACATTATAACTGACCCTGACGAAATCGTTAACGAAAATGATAAAACTCTGCAACAGAGTGTAATTTAAAGGCGTTTCCAATGACCCTACAGGGTAGAGGCAACAAAATACCAAATAAATAAATAATTAATTTTAAAATCCAGTCACATCGTCACTGAAAAAGTGAGTAAAAATAAAATTGACATTAATAGAAGTGAAGTTTCAACTTTTTAAAAAAAAATATTTTTAACCAAATATTTTAAGTAGTTTAAGAAGCAACAACAATCTTATTTTAAACAAAAAGTTACTTATAACGTTGTAAAACCAATGCATCGAAATGTTTATTTATAAATATAAAATAAATACTCAATAGTATCAAAATTTGTTTGAAAGTCAAATTTTCATAGTTTTTCTAACATTTAAACTGCCGTCACGGTCAGTGTGGTAGACACAAAGTTTGAAGCTGAAGTAAAAAGCTGTGAACTTGCCCCTTGAAATATTAGTTCAACGGCAAGGCAACAGAGTCTCTTTCTTGGTCGCAGACGCCAATTATGTTCCTTCAAAAGGGTTGTAATATGAAATCAAAGATCTTTAAACTGGCTAGGGAAGGATCTGGGATAAACTAACCTAATATTCCCTAAGGCATGTATTCGGCTAGCAGAATATCTCAAAAGTATTTTATAGAAAAATATACTCAGAAAAATGAGGCAAAGTGAAGGAGTGAGCTGCCAGAAGAAGAAGCAGTATGCAATAAGACAAATCCGTCGCTTGTTTTAGATATTTGTCTGATACAATTTCCTGCAAATGCTCCTTCATCACATCGGTTTAATCTGTCCACTGTGCTCTCTGGAGAACATCTCGAGGGATGGCCTACAGGTCATAATATGTGCTTTTACTTATACTGACAATCCCTTTGCTAGGAGAACAAAATTATATTGGGCTTTTTTTTCTTCTCTTCCTTATTATTATACGCTATAAGGATATACGGAGTTCTTACCGGACCAGAGGAGAGGACGGAGAACTGTTGGCAGAGTTAAAAGTCCCCTGGGCACCGAGATTTGGACTCGTAATATTTGGTTTATCATGTTGCTGGGTAACGAGTATTTTGCACACGTCAATCCCGCTCTCTCCCCTCCCTCCCCTCCCCCCCAAAAAAATTATATTGGCTGCAAGATTACGCACGGTTGATCAAGTAGGCGTTCGCCAAGCATAAGAAGGCTTGGTAGTACTATTTGAATCGTAATCGTCTCAGAAACATTTATTTTTATAAAATCAAGTGCTTACTTCATCATATGTTTGTTTATGTTTGAAAAAATAATTTCTTAAAGAAACAATGAAAGATGGGAGAGCATACTGGAACACACGAAAAGTATGTCACAATAATGAGACCAGAATGTCCCGAGGTCACTTTGTGCTCGTCGGCTTATGATAAACTGATAGACCTGAATGTTGTTGAGGTGGCAACAATGAACTCGTAGAATTCACCTCTGGGGGATACAAATAGCATCCTTGGTTGACAGCATTCTCTGCAATTTGTATACACCTCCGGAATTCCTGTTGGCTATTCACCCGTGCACAGATTCAGTCTATACTAAAGAACCCCATGGGAGCACCCCTCTATCTACAGATTCCTTATTATATTATATTTATACTCCAAACATTCTTCGTTTCTCTTCAAAAATCTGTATGGAACATAAAGATAATTTATAATCAAATTCTCTTTTTTCTTCAAAACACTATAAAATTAAATCGATCTTTTCGAACTATATGTCATATTTCATTTTATCAGTATAGTTAAAACATTTATTTTGTAAGATGTCAAAATATGTTTAAAGGGGTTAATTAAATAAACAAAAATATTTTCAGTCGTTACATATAAATTCAGGAATATATATTCCTTTTCTGGTTCTTAGGAGCTATGGAGTAGGACAAACGGAGTGTCGAAAAAAATGGGATTCCTTGGAAAGGTGATGATTTCCAAATTCGATTTTTTAAAATTCTTACTACAATTTTATTAAAATTGATTAATTTATGAATGTAAGTGGTTACGAAACTTCGATGATCTGAAGTTGTCGGATCGAGACGAGTCAGTTAGATATTGGTCGGTTTTTTTTATTTGTTTTTTTTAAGATTTTGACTCTTACATAAAAATCCAGCACTGGACCGTTCTTATGGAACAAACCTGGATCTATGTCTAAAAGCCTTAAAATTTACAGTTTTTGGGATTACCCACAATAAAGTGCCACCTGCAGTATGGGCCCTCTATGACTATTGATCAGTGCCTAAACAAGCCTAGGTTATCATTGGATGCTTATGTGTTTGGTTTATTTTTTACCCATTGTTTAGGTTTATTTGAATGATAAAGGAGGAGATTATAAATTAATTGCATATTAAGTAAACTATTATTTTAACATAACCGTCATAAAGTATTTAGGTAGCTGTCTAGGTAACTGTCTTGGATAATATTTTTAAAAATATTTTATATTGATAATAATTTTTTCCCCTTACATCAGGTATTCTTTGACACTGTTTTGTAATTTTCTAATTGGTAACAGAGAAGGCACCATTAATCGGGAACAAGTAAGGCCACTGAAAAATTAGTTTATAATAGATTAAAATTAAAAACAAGCTGGTTAGAGATTATAAATTGATTTATACTTTACTATTTACCTCTCTCTTTCTATTTAAACATCAAATAATAAGTAGCTGGTCAATTTAGATGTGGGTTAAAGGGAGGGTCTCGTAAAATCTTGTCACTGGCACCTACAATGTACCAGACAACCGTTCTTGGTTGTAATTTTGAACAGTTTTCATTTATATTATGGATATTAATTTTTTTGTTCTTATATCATTACAAAAATTGTTTCTTCATTTGTATAAATTTATACCTTAACTAATAATTGTGAAATAATATTTAGTGATGTTACTATTCAGCTAATTATTATTATTCCTTATTAATTGTTTCTAGACCACGGAGACAGAGGATGAAGGCGATGGTGGTGAGAGCGGCGCTGAGGACAGTTCGCGGGGCAGCTCTGTGGCCAGCGAAGAGACCCCCTGTGATATTGGCCTTATGGAGCGGCTCATCCGCAGCCATCCCGTTTGGTTTCTACCAGGCATCCAGCGGGCTGGGGCATTCCATCTGCTCCAAGGAAAGGAAGAGGGTGTAAGTACCAATACTAATTACAACTGTGAAATAGAATCATACTTAAATTGATAAGTTTTAAAGTTGTGGTTTACAAATAAGTTGTTCTCAGATTATAGATCATAATCAAAATTTAACAACCCATACACTTAATTTTTTTCTCCATTTATCATGTAAACCAATGCTTTCTTTATTTTTTTTTAAAATTCATCAAATGAAAACTGCTCTAAAATCTATCAATATTCATTTTAATTTTGTAGATTTTTTTATGATGATTTCTTTTTATTTTGACTATTTTGTTGCTTCTGTCTTTATGCCAATATATTTCCATTATTCCTTATATCTTAATAATACAAAAGAGGAAAAAAAAAAAAAAGTTATACAGAAAAACTAATAAGTAGTCCTGTGAATAAATCATATCTTAAAAATTTCTTTTAGCGAACCTCAAATCCCTAGATAATTTTTTTTGTCTATAACTTTTAACATAAATTTATTACAAACAGTCCAATGGTAAATTTATGGTTTTACTGAAGGTTCAAAAAATATTGCAGGTTGTTTTTTTTTAATTCAGAATAAATTATAATTTTTTATATATTATTTTTTGCAACCCTAATTCTTGATGATAACTTTTTCATTAGCTCATATCAATTTTAATTACAATTGATACTATATACTATAATACTACATTTTTAGTAATTTTCATTTGAGTAATTTTTATTAGGTATAAAGCAATAAAACTGTATATAATTGTTTTGTAAAAATAAAGATTTCTGATAAAATGCTGTATAATTTTAGGTCCTATGTTGAACAATAACTTTTTGAAACAAAGAAAATTTTTTTTAAAAAATTCCCAAATTCTTCTTTATATATTACTATTTTAAATAACAAATTTTGATTTTTACAGCATTATTTCCAATATTTTGTTAAGATATTTTTTAGGTTAAATTCTATCATATTCCTCATTGATTAGAAAATGAGTTGTTTATTTATTTATTTTTTTTTTTTGTGGTTTTGTTGATGATTTTTATGAATTTTATTTTGTTCCAGAATTTCGTCGTGCGCCAGAGTTCACAGACTTCTACTATGGCAATATCTGTGAGGCTGCCAGCCGGCAAAGGCCCCTATATCGAACACTACCTCATTCAGGCAGGGCCTGACGGGCAGCTAAGCCTTGAGTCCAGTGATAATAAGTTCTCCAGTATCCCTGCGCTAGTTGCACACTATGCACAGTGCTGGTAAATAATGTCATTATTACAATTTATTTATTGTTTAAAATATCACTCTTTGTATGCATTCAAAAACTTTGTTATGTTATTGTTTTATTAATATCTTATTTTTTTAATATTGCTACAATTTAACGATAAGAATATATTATAAAATATTTTATATCAGGTTTAATCATTTAATTTCACATCATCATTTAATGTTTACTCAAGCTAATTCTGTGATTTGTTTCATTAATTAATAAAGTAAAAAAAAATTATTTTTAAAACATTTATGTTATTTATTATTATTCACACTTTTCATTGAATTTTTGTTTATATTTATTTTAGTGATGAGTTACCTGTGCAACTAACTTTACCAAGAGCTATCAGGGAAGCTAAGAACAGACAACAACTTTCATCGCTCGCTTTGCTTGGGCAAGGTATACTATTGTTCTATTGTGTTTTTCATAGTGCTCTTATATAGGGAATTTATTGTTTTCTTCTAACCAAATAATTATTTTTAGAATTCTGGAGGTACCCAATGGCTAACCCTCGACCAGCACAGAACAACAGCGAACAGACAGCACAGCCAGAACAGACAGGTCTTAATAGCAGCCTTCCTAGCAGCCAAGCCAGCAGTCTTACCAGCTTTGGCAGTGGTGAGTTTATATCCACTGATACAAATACTTATTAAGTGCATTAAAACAACAAAAACCATATTGTATGTCAAAAATAGTTACACAAAGTGCACATTGTTTTGATTTTACAGAGAAAAGAATCATCAAATTATTTATTAATTTAATTTTTTTAAATGTTACTAAATGAATTTTTGCTATGAATTGGCAATATTTTTTCTCCACTTTAGGGCTTTAAAGAAAATTTATTTAGGTTAAATTAAATATATGATCTATATAATTTATTAAATTAAGTATTTTAAAATTATAAATATTTTGTTTCCATATTTGTAAAAATAAAAAATTTGTAAGACTATATACACATAAAATGGAATCAAAACTGGTTTTTACATCTTTTAATGAAAATTTACACAATTGTTTAATTAACATTTTTATTCAAATTCAGGTAATAACAATAATTCAGGAAGGAGTCCTACTGGAGACCCTGATTCAATTGTTTTGAATTTAACACCTTTAAATGAACAACCACAACCTTCCAGTTTACTCTCAACCTTTAAAGGATCTCAAAATGAATCTGCAGGTAAGTCAATTTTACCTTCACTTGTTTTGCATGGTATGCTTCTTTGGGCTTTTATTTTGTTTAAATTTTTATTTGTTAGTTTTGCAAATTAACTTTATCTAAAAATGTTTTGTAAAAGTGTCAATTGCTGTATATATATATATAGTGCAGAGATCTGGGTTGAAATGGGAGGGGAAACGTTGATACGTTGTGCACGGGTATTATCTTTACAGGAAGAACTATTTGATAAGGTCAACATGAGCTTGACAGTTGGCTTTTTGCTTTCACCTTAGTATTATTTTATTCTGTATATTTTTCCTATACACCGCTTTTATTACTGTAAAGAGAAAAAAACAAAACATGAAGGGACAGAAATTTTGAGAAGTTTGTTTGTTGCTGTGAGTGCAGGTAGCCCAACATCACTGCCTAGCAATTCCCCAACAGAATTGTGCAATGTTCCCCCTCGAGCACCACGACCAACACCTCCTAACACGCTTAATCTCATTAGCACTTCTGCTAACAACAGTTCAAGTAAGTTGCTTCTTTCACTAACAGATGTTTCTATTTTTTAGTAAACTATATAAATCATTATATTTATGATAAAATTATTTCAAATGATGTAAAAAGTACCTTGATTTTTTTATGATTTCTCTGATACTTTCAGATGACAAAGCCTACATCAAATCTTAGAAATTTTAGTTAAATCAAGGAATATCAAATAAAAAAAAATGTATTTTTATCTTTTTAAAAGTCATAAATACAGTGTATTAAATTACTACTGAACTTTGATTTATTGCTGAAATATTAAGTGGTTAGCTTATTAATTTATATACTTAAAACATTTATTTATTACTTTAAAAAAATATTTAAATCATTTCATAACATAGACTTGGATACAACTTATTTAAAAAACTTTCAATGTTTTTTATTTTTTATTTACAATACATTTGTTTATAATAATAATTTATTTTATTTTTCATTTTTCTAATCTTTGAGTTGAAATACTTAGCAAATACAACTTGACCTTAAGACATACATACATGGCTGATAGTTGAATCTATAAATACAACAGATTAGGTCCTCAAATCAGTATTTGCGATCTGCGTAAATCTACTTTATTGATGCATGTCATTTTCTTACTTTAGTATAACTTGTTTTTCGATTTCATGTGAATAACAACTTTGTTTTACTTTCATTATTATTATGTATACTTATATTTTTATGTATTGGAAAATTATTATATATATCTATATTTGGTATCTAACCTTATATTAATTAATTATTACATTTACTATTAATAGTAATTGGCCAAATGAGTTTCATATTAATTTTTTTTTTCCATATTGGTAGAAGCATTTAAAGACTAAGCTTACTGTACTAAAGAAATAGTAATTTTAATTTAGTTACCTTTTGAACAATGAAACATGATGTATGTAGTTTCTTAAGCAGTATTTTTTAAACTAATCAATTACATATTTGTTTAGATGTAAGCAGTAAATTATTTAGTAACTGTAGTAAACATTTATGCTTAACAAATTAGTTTGTTAATTGTATGCTTATGGTTTCGGTTTCCATTCGGAGTCCCATCATTATTGCTTTAATTGATTCAAAAGTTTACTTATAATACAGAAATTTTGTTATTAATGAAAGTAAATTATTAAAGGTGTGTTTTAAATATTATCATAAAACTTTCGAGTTTACAAATGTTTTGCAATTTACTTATTTTTAATTTTCAAAGGTTTTATGCTATTCATTAAATATTGAAAGTAAAGACACTGAATATTGAATAATATTAAATATTGAAATCAAGTGTAAGTTAAATAAAAAAAAATAAATCTTTTATCAGCATTATTTTATTGTTTTCTCCTTATATATTTTAAATAATTGTTTAATTTTGTTGTGATGGTACTGTGTAACTTACAACTCATATAATTTTGTATGTATTTATTTAGATTGTAAATCAGTATCAAGTCCGCCACACTCTTTGGGTATGGTTCCAACCAAAACACCACCTCCACCACCACCTCGTTGGTCAAAACCTGGTCAGAACTTCACTGTAACAACCACTGTAACATTCTCAATGACTGAAACTACATCGACTTCTCCTCCCCCACATGTTGAGGTATTGAAGCATTGAATAATATATTTATATTTTTTCGAGTATGACTTACACTTAGGTATGAGTAAAATTACGATCCACTTTTATTTTTCTTCATTAAATTATTATCTTCTTGCAGAAACAGCCTTCAATTTGTGACACTGAAAGCTTACCTTCACTACAGTCTGGAACAGCTACCCTGGAGTCCAATAGAGCTGGAAGCGCCAAGTCCCCAGTCTCTGACATCCTTAGTCCTTCTCAAGCTCTTTCTCCAACAGGCTCTGACCCAAGATCTGCGCTGTCCCCAACCGGTTCAGATCCTCGCTCTGCCCTCTCACCAACTGGTTCAGCTCTCTCACCCACAGGCTCTGACCCAAAGTCTGCCCTGTCTCCAGTGTCTGATTCCAAACCGCCGCATCGGAGAAGCAAGAGGCATAAAGAGTCTAGGCATTACCAAGAGTCAGATATCCTTGAATCACCAGGTGTTTACTACAGAAGCTCTGTAGCAGACAAGGTAAATGTCTCTGCAACATATTCTCTTAAGATATTCTATAAATCATCTTTGAACATATAAAAAATTATTAGATTTGAATAAATAATGATATAGCTGGTGTATAGAAATAATTTCAATTTTAATCAACATTCGGTACTTATCATAATTTTGAAAATATTTCGTCTTGTTATGGAATTTCTGTAAATAATGAATGTTTAATGGAATTCCTATAATAATGTTTTTCTTTCGTATTCAATTATTGATTTATTTTGAATTTACTTTCCAGGTTAGTGATTATGAGGACATCTGGGGTCCTGAATCCCTGACCACCTTTAAGCCAAGGTCATCACCGTTCAGTCCTCCCGAGGAGCAGCGGAGGGTGCCAGACATCCTCGACAGGGTTCCGCCATGCCCCGCTCCCAGACCTAGTCTCATTGCCCCTCATCCATCACCGATTTCTCCCACCGAACCAAAGACTCCTACCGAACAGGTTTGTGCCAGTTTCTCTTTTATAATATTTAAAATGAGTACTTGACTTTATCATCTTTAACATTAAGTAATACCATGACTTAAGTGGGTAAACAGATTTATTTAGCGATCACAAAATGGTAGGAAAAAGTATCACTCCATTCTGCCATGTGTTTTCTAAAATTTTATATAAATTATAAATTAGCCAATTTTTCTTCTAAAATGCCACCATTATTCTCTCTTTAAATTTATAAACAACCTTGAAAATATGCCCATAGTTCTTTATTTTGTCTTAAATTTAAATTGAATTTAATTAAAATTAAAATAAGTTAAATTTTTGACAAGTATATAAATCCTTGTGCAGTGGTGTGAATAGTGTCAATGCAGCTTATGTGACCTGTTGGATCTGTGGGGTACGCATTACATAAATTAATATACTAACATTTCAATGGAATGAGAAAGTGACTTGATTTTCCTTAATTATTTCTTTATTTAATCATTCATAGGTGGATTTATAAGAGAAAAAGAGAAGCTTTTCTGCTTAAGCACTCCTTCCCCAAAATGGTTAAATATTACCATGACTTAAGAAAAAAAATTATCTCTAAAAGTATTATTGTTCATGTAATTACATTAAATAGAACTTTAAGAATCACTTAAACACCATTTCGAATAGGTAGTTAGTTTCTTTTTCTTCCAAAGTAATTATCATTATATTTTTAAAAAAAGAAGCTTTTGGGCTGATGTCCCTCAAAATTAAATCGTGGATCCCCTAGTATACTCATTTAATGTTTACAATATAATTTTATGTACAAATTTATAAATATATTTATTAAAGAAGGAGATGGTCCGGGACAGTCATAAATAAACTAAATAGTGGCAAAACTATTTTATTTTTAATAAAATAAATTGGCTTTTATCCAACATTTCAACCCGACTTTGCAGGTCTTTTTCAGGGAGGTATGTTCAGCAAGGAGTTTCACTTAGAACTGTATCATCACACTTCAGCAGTTCTAAGTGAAACCCCTTGCTGAACACATCTCCCTTAAGAAGATCTGCAAAGTCTGGTCGAATTGCAGCTTTTAATAAAACAGTTTTGCCAGTATTTAGTCTACTTATAACCGTCACCCAGGACCATTTCCTTCCTTAATAATACAACAGTCAACTATTAAGTATTCAACATAAATATATTTATATTTAATGTTTACTTAATTTATTCAATGCTCTGTTAGATATGTTTAAGAAGAGGTTGAAAAAATGTTGTTAGGTAAAATAGTATCAATGGAATAAGGATAAAGTGGGTTATTTTTTCTGGAGGGGGAGAGGGAAGAAGAATGTACAGGAAAAATGCTAGCATTGTAGTCCAGTCATCTGGATAGGATGAAACCTTCTCTCACAAAATATTGTTAAAAATTTATATTCCTGCTAATTGGGTTTCCAAAATCTTTTAGTAGAACTAGATGTAGGATTATCCCTCTGCAATGTTTTCCATTTCACAGTTGTTTCTCAATCATCGGGAGCTCTGTGGTAAGAGTTTTGTTTTCCATCTTGCCAATATTACTGATATAATCATAAAATATACCACATAAAACATTAAATAGTTTTTCTACTTTAATATTTGGTAGAAATTTTGTTTTTGTTGACTATTATAAGAAATCATTGCACATCTTTACCTTAATCAATAATTTTCACTTCTCTTTGAGCTTCCATTATGACTTCGAAAGAAACCATTTGTTGAAATTATTGTTACTTATTCTTAAAAGTATGTCATTTTATTATAGTTTCTCAAATTGTTTTAAGAGAAGTTCTTTCAAAATTAATTTATAATTAATTTTTACAAGAAATCTAAACTTAATTGAAATTACAGGCACCAACCAACAACAAACAGTCATCCCCTTTCTATTGTGAACCAGCCGACGCAATTAAGAATGCAGCTTTAGAGGTTGCAAGAAGACGCAACCGAGGCCTACACCGCAACAACAGGCATTCAGACCCAGCAGCCCTCCTGCAGTGGCCAGCCATTGCGACGGGGGGTATCCTAGAGAGAATAGACTCAAAGGTATGTATTCATATATATCCTTACATTTTTTAAAATTTACTTATCAGTTATCAAGATTGACTAATTTCTATAAATTATTTTAACATTGAAATTAATGTATTTTACTATTAATTTTATAAATAATTGGTTAAACTCTTAATTGAAAATGAAAGATTTATTGAAAAGTTCCATTTATTTTATTGACTGGACAAATTAATATTATCTAACAAATTGAACTTAGATAAAAGATGATATAGATTACTGATTTTTATATATTAATTTTTTTCCCAAGTTAAATCAATTTATTATCTTATAAAGATAGTGGATTTTAACTTCCTCTTTTTTTTTTATAAAATTAAATTTCCTTTCTTTCTTTTTTTCCTGTTGTATTACATGTTTCCTTAATAAGTTTCTATTAACATACGTTTCATTTTTTTTTTTTTCTCTATAGAAATAAAATGATATCAATTGGATATTTTAAAATTATCACATTTATTTTTGTAAACTAGTTTTAACAAAAATTTGAGGAAGATATTTCATTTCATACATTGTTGTATAAATAAATAAATAATAATTTTATATATTCAAGACCATTTACATACTTAATGATTGTAAGTGATGATAAATCAGTTAAATTGTTGATGGAAAAGCCATTAATTATAAACTTCATATATCTCACGTAATCTCATATACTTTTATGTGATATTTGCTAATCTTTAAAAAGTCAATGTGATTTCTAAAGACTCGATATCCTTATTAGTATTAATTAATTTTAAGTAAAAAAATCTTTTAGTCATTTAAAGAGTTTTTATGAACTACATAATGAATAGCTTTTGAATCTTAACTTAAAAAATTATATTCACTCAAGAACCCCAAGATGATTTCCTGTTCTAGTCATATCATTCTCTATATTATATTTATTTATCCCATTTACTTGAATATCATTATTTTTGTTTTTCAACTTATTATTAAAGGTATCAGTTAAAATATAACCTAACTCACCTATCCTAGATATAGGAAAGCTGTTAATTATTAATTCAAATTGTCATTGGTTATTTTGAATAATACTATTACAATGGGATAATTATCATCCAGTTTATCTTTCAGGCTGTTTAATTTATGCAAAGACTGTAATAGTTAACAAATACACAAAATAACAGGTGAAATATAACATATTTCCAATTAACAGCTAGGTCATCTCAAAAACTTGGAAGTTTTTGCCTAATCTGGTTGTTCATTCAAACAATGTAATACATTCATATCTTGAATATTTAGTTTAAATTATGAGAGGGAACCAGCTATTTTTTTATTATCTATTTACAGAAAAAAATCCTCTGAATGCCAGTAATATTATTATAAATTTCTTATTTTGATTTGCAGGAGGAACTCTCATTTTCTGGTCTTTCATCTTCCGTTGATAACCTCATTGGACCAAGGAAGCTCGGTAGGCGGATAGGTCTGATAGAGAGGGGCAAGGGTAAACCCAAGATAGCCAAGAGGCCTCAAGGTAAAAACTTTAGTGATACTTCTTGGGCTGTTGACTCTAGCTGGGAGTTCATAGGTTCGTTTAATTTTCCAATTTGCAAACCAAACAGTGTTAGAATTAAGGAAAAAATAAAGAAAATTTTTTCATTATCATTTGAATAAAATTTTGTCCAGGTAATGAAGAAGAACAGGACACAGAACAAGAAGAATGCCCTGAAGAAAATTTCATGACTGAAAGGAGGTTTCCATCTCTTGAACAACAGGAGAGTGAACCGAGCCCGGTCCAAAAAGGCATAACCATTCAAGAACTCATTGCTGAAAGGTCAAAAAATTTTCATGTTATTTTTGAAGTGGTTTTTAGTAAATATTATATTTTTCTTTTTTATTGGTTAAACAAGAAAAACAAATATTTCATCTCATTAAATCATGGAAAAAATTGCTATGATATTATTATAATAATTGTATAATTTAATAAATGAGGGATTGAAAATTAACACCCCGATATATGATTTTTTCTCAATTTTACAGCAGAGCAAAATTTTTTAGAGAAAATAATTCTTAGGTTATTTGATTTTTTTCTCTTGTTTTATTTTTCAAGAGAAAAATAACTTTGAATTTCAAACATACTTTATTAATTCATAGTAACAAAATTCCAAGTTAACAAGGCTCAGCTTCAAGTGACAATGTAAAAATGATCGTATAATATTTGGTTTATAAATTATGTTTAAAGTTTGGAGGTTCAATTTTCCTTAGAAATGATAAAATAAGATACAAAATATGATTTTCGGATAAGCAAAAAGATTGATCATAATTTAAATGGCACCTTCCATTAGATTCTGAGAAGTCTTAAACTTGTGAGGTTTCAATTTTGATGCATGCTTACATAAACAGATTATTGCTATTTTCTGTTCTACATTAAAAATTTTAGTAGCCACATAAAGCTAATTTTGAAATGCATCTGGTTAGAAAGATTGGTCACTTTCAAGAACTGAATGATAGAAATTCATATTTGGTTCTTTCTTCTAATCTCCAATACCATAGTCGTTCATGATCTTGTCTCTGAAGGATTGAAGATTTGAAAGTTTTTAAACCACAGTTCATTTAACAGTCAAATATATCAGTCAGAATAATTTCTCTCTGATGACAACCTTTTTGATCTCAGTAAACTCCTACCCAGTGCCATCATATTTGACAGTTTTTCCACCAAGAAACAAAAAAGTATCCCATTCCAGTAGGCAAAGAAGAAACTATGGATCTAAAAAAAAAAATTGAATTAAAACCAATCTTCTCTTTATAATTATTTTTTGTTTTTTTATTGATTACTTTTAAGCCATTGTTAAAGAAGCTTTTGATCTCAGTTTTTTTCATTTCTAAAAATAAGCATCGGATTGGAACCATATATGACACAAATTAGAAGGAATAATATATATTTGTGGTGTAATTAAAGACTGAATCTATGTGTGAACAATAAATTCATCAATTCTAATGCTAAATAATAAATTATCACTTTGTTTAATTAAATTAAAAACAAGCAATTGAAACATTTGTTTATTCGAAAATAATCATACAAATTAACTTTGATTTATAGTCAAAATAAATTTTTCTAAAGTCTGCTTTAGTGGTCCTTATGAAAGAAAGAAAGAAATATTTAAACATCCCTCAATATTTTTTCCTTTAAATTTGTAAGCTGGCTCCATTTTGAATTTATAAAATAACTTAGAGTTCTGTGAATAGAAGAACCTTGACTAGCAATTAACCCCTGATTACTAAGGCAATGATAACATCTCTTGACACCTTTCTGTAACTTTAATTGTGAGGTCTGACGGTGTGTTTGTTTATGACTTTAAGAATTATGTTAATCATTTGATGCTTATTAAACAAGGAGTTTTTGAAAATTTGCAATATGAAAAGGTAACTCACAGAAAATTCATTTATTTTTATTTCATGTGGTAGTTTTGATTAAATAGGTTCACACCCTGTACATATGCATGTTAATTTTGTAGTATCCATTGTAAATTTTATTGTAGTTTTGTTTTTTTAATGAGAATAGTCATATTTCTAGTGATTTCAAAAATACATGACTATTAAATATTCTGTGCAGTCAATTATATATTCATTCTCATTCTATATTGATATTTCATTACTCATTGAAAATATTCTATCAAACAACTGCTGACTCAAGTTTATAAAAATCTAAAAATGGACCCCATAATTTTAATGTAATTAATGTGGGGCATGTTATCTAATTACCAAAGTTTTTTTACTCAAAAAATAATCTACTATTATGAATATTATGCCAGTATATTTAAATCCAGTTATTTAAACCCTCTTTGACGCCATTGTCTCTTCAACTCTTCTTTATGTGGCTGAGAACTGGAGCTTAAATCACTTTAAAGTTATAAAAATTGTGCAAACCAAATTTCTGAAATAATTATATTTTTGGCTTAAAACTACATCCAGTTATGTAGTACGCCTAGAAACAGGTCGCCTCCCACTTACAGCAATAGTCTTTAAGAAACTTCTCAATTTTTGCATAAAAATCCTCTCATTACCTGGACATAGGCTAGCACAACAATGCTTTATCAGATTATCAACCTTAGATGCCAGAAAACAAGATTTCAAACCAAACTTATTTCACAACTCAAGAGAATAGCATCCATGAATAATGTACTGGATTTTTTCACAGATCTGTCTAACGAAAGTAAACTAATTGCAAATAAAAGGGCAATCATTCAAAAACTGGAACATAATTTATTATCAAATGATATAAGCCGGGCAATGGCCTCCATCCACAATCCTGTTTATAGAAACATCTGCAGTTTCATTTATCCCCAACCAGAAGAATATCTGTTACACAGCCTAAATATCCACAAATACAGTGCAATAAGCCAACTACAGGTCGCAAGCACATCATATCTACAAAATAAACATCTGATTTTAAAGACCAGCGAACCATGTGAACTCTGTGGGAAATTCATCTATTACACTCTGAATCATCTCCTGCACTGCTCCTCTTGTTAAGTCATACAGAGAACAATTTTTAAACAATCATTTATCGGAAAATGATGATCTCTCTTCACTAGAAGATATTTTAAACTATAACAATATAAATAAAATGAAGCATGTATTTCTGTTCCTATTATCAATTTTGAACAACTCTAATTCTCTACAGGTTATTCACCTCAAAACTTCTTAATGGGGCCTTATTCGTGATAAAATCTAAATTATTATATTGTATTTATAGATTTTATTTATCATTTATTATAAGTATTATATTTATTAGATAGTATGTGCAGTATATTTATGTATATGCATCTTTCTTGTGATTGTATTTTGATGTGCAAAGAATAGGTATATTTATTTTTTCATAAATATAACAAAAAAGTGTATATATTTATTGTTATGAAATCTTATATCATGAATGTTATACTCTCTTTGCTAATCTTATTTAAAAAAAAAAAAAGAATGAAATTACTTGTTATACAATCTTATAAATATTATTTAATGTTATATTTAAAGGGCCAACCCCAATATGATTTATGTAACAAGCATGTACTGCTTTATAAAATAAATAAAATACTATTCTATTTAAATTCAGTAAGACACAAAATAAATGGTTTCTAATTGTTTGTCAATATTATCACCATAATTACTATTTGCATATGTACATTAAAATCATAGGATATTTCCATGTGTAATATGTATTTATTCACAATATAATATATTATGATTATACATATTCCAATATGTTTATATGTACGTATATTAATTTATTATTCAATAAACATCTTTAATATTGTATTACTTCTGTAAAGTTTATCATTCTTTTTGGTTGATGATAGATTTTTGTGCGGAAAAAATGGTGACAAGGTAATTAAAAAACTGCCTCCTTTTCAGAGATGTTGCAAGTAATTTCAATTAAGATTATTATTTCTAAAATTTATGTTCTTTTGAAGCAAACAATATTCTGTTTTAATATGGATTTGTTGTTGTTATTTTGATTCCTATAAGCTAATGGTTGTATCATAATTTTGTACCATTTTGATTGGGGAACTTCACAGACAATTCTAAATAATTAGTAATTATTCCAAGACTTATCACACTACTCTTACTTTCACTGTGCTTGTCTGGGGGTAATGTTGTAAATATTTTTTAAAAATGTTAATATATGGTATATCTTATCGATAGTTTTTAAAAATATTAAAATAGTAATTCGAAATGTATAAAAAAAATTAAAATATCAAAACTGATATTTCGGGTCTTGATGTTTATAATTTTTTAATATTTTTAGAGTGAATATCAGTTTTCAATACTATATTTTAATTAAATATTACAATTTATAAAATTAAAACCATCAAATAAATATATTGATATATTTTTCCCCTAACCTTAAAAAAGGAGCAGAAAAGATTTTACATTAAACTGAAGAATAGGATAATTTGAATTAATGAATTTGTTTGTTGAATTTTATATCAAATTTTATTGAATTATGAAATTTATATATCAAAATAAAACTATGAAGCAAAAATATTTTCCAATTTATATTCTTGATGTCTGGTGGGCTTGAGATGATACTGAAGTGACTTCCTTGGTGTCTTTTTTCCAAGAAATTTTCCCATCTTGCTCATCCAGTGTTAACTCTTTAAATACTAGATTCCAACCAAGCAATTTATAAATACTTCTACTAAGAACTGCTTCCTCCAGCAAATCCATCTAACCTCAAAATGTAGGAGATTTCTTCAATCAAAAAATGTGATGCATAAAAAATTTGCTACTTTTAGCATTTGGTAATGTTTAGGATTGCAGTAATGTTTATTTGTTTTTGAAAAAAATAAAATAAAATCTCAAGAATTTCTTCATCAACAGATTTAGCAAAGCAGTTTCTTATCGTAGTGGTTTCATTTTCTTATTCTTTGTCTTCCTACTGTATTTATACCCATTCTATAGTTATTATTTTTTTCAAAAAGTTTCTAATTTTTCAAGTAATAAAAGTGGAGAATTTGTGGCATAATTTTTTAGTTAATATTAGTTTATTGTATATAGGTGTGTATGTGTTCTTTTTATTTATTTATTTTTAGTTTATTTTATTCTTATTTATTGTATATATATTATTTTTCTGTATAATTTATTTTATTTACTGTACATAGAGTGTGAATGTGATCTGTGAACACTATTATAAATGTCCTTGAGACAGATTGTAATATTTTTCAATAAATAAGTTTAAAAAAAAAAAAAAAATATTAGTCCATTGATTGTAATTTAGGAATTATGCTTTTCAGTTGGAAGAAAGTGTTTTATTAGGCACTTAAATATTTTTTATCCATGTGTAAGAATTTTATTCAATACACAGAAAATAATTTTTAAGCATAATAAAATTTCTTCCAAAAACAAATTCAAGTATCGGGATTTTTGATATGTGTAATATTTATGAAGAATTAAATGTATTAGTATTTATAAACTAAAATAAAAATCATTTTTCTGTTTAGATGTCCGGAGCTAAGGCTCCCAACAGACTTTTCAGTCAGGGGTGATGCAGGGAAATCTGACTCGTCTGGAAATAGTGGTTCCCGGGTTTCGGCATACGATAATGTAACAAATGGTGCATCTACACAGTCCCATCTTAGTGATGATGACACTCAGGTAAACTTAAGACTGAAGTTGTTAACTTAGAATTAATGAAAGAAGTTAAGTTCTCACTGCTTCCTTTGATTTTTCAGACAATATTTTCCGAGCCATGGGATAGCTCAAGGTGGGAAACACTTCTGGAGAGAGGTGACGATTGGGGTCGAGGAGAAGAAAGGATATCCATTGTGAGGAACAAAAGCTTTAAAGAACGTCTAGATCCTCTATTATGTAAGTAAATGCAAAATTTTCTTGTGTTGTAATGTGGTTATCTAATAAATTCATTAACGTATCAATGTTTATGGTTGTGTCAGTGATAATTTGTTTGCATTAAGGATAATATATTTATGACTTTACTCATGGGGTCTTTTAAAATCTTGTTATGAAATAATCTTCCTTTGTTCTCTTTTCTTTTGAATGTCATTCATTCTACTGTCAATTAATTTATTTTTTTTACATAAATATTATTATCACATAATTCTTTGAATGAATCAAAGAGTTTCACATACATTTGTATAATTTTATTATTACCAATTTGAGATATTTTTGCAATGCTAATTCTTTTCTAGATCTTTACATCTCTCTACTAACTTCTCTTTTGGCCCTGCCATCCCAACCTTTTAGTACCTTTCTTCCATTCATAGAGTAAAGGTGTTAAAATTAAAGCAATAATAATTAATTTTTTGTATTTTCAAAGTCGAATGAATGAATGAAGTAAATTTTATTTCTTTTCATAAACACAAAGAAAAAAAAAAAACAAATAATAAATTTATAAAAAAGTTTTGCTGAGATTTTCATATGATTTTATTTTCAAAGTTAAACTTGTAGGTAAAAATATCTAATGCTAAGTATCGTCCAGGTACAAATTATTCACAGTCACTAACTGATTCTAGAGTGGTGCTTTCTGGCTGAAGTGCCTTTCCCCAAAATAGATTTTTTTTATTGGTCCATATGTTACAATTAAAGTCCATATTTTACATAAATGATCTCAGATAAATACTTCAAAAATCACAGTTCTTGTGTTAATTTTTTTTTCAAGCTAATGCAAAAAACTTTATCTAATAAATGTAAGCATGTAACATGAAAAAAAAATATCCCTAAAAGCATCATGATTCCCATAAATATAATTATAAATAAACATCAGCCTCCCAAAATTAAATCCTGAATCCACTACTGCCCACCATTGTGAATGGGTATTAATAAGTGGTATTATAATATTTATCTGCAGGTGTAAAAACCGTAAATTGCTGGAAAGTTTTGTAAGTTTGAAGAAGAAAATAATAGTTTTCACTACTACTGAAAAGAATATATTTTTGAACTTGATTTAGGAGTTCTGGTGAAGTGTTTAAACTTTATTGAGTTATCTTTGGTGAAAATAAAAAAATTGCTTTTTTATTTTGTAGTGCTTTTGCAGAGATCTTTTTAAAATGTGTAAGTAGTCCTGACTAGGGATGGGTGATATTCGATAGGACTATCAATATATCGATAGTTTGTATCCTCCCCTCGAATACAAATTAATTTCAAATTTTATGTACTTGAAGGAATATTTTTAATAACACATCTTCATACTTGTTTTATAATGTAAAACTCTTATATAGAATTTTGAATTAGTGTTATTATTATAACTAGATAGGAAAAAAATGTTAATTTTACTTCTCCCTTTTCTTTTTATTTTATCTTTTTGAGAACAAAGTATATAAAATCTAAAATGATACCAGTTTTTTTATATTTTAAATTAGTAACATCAAATTAAATTTAGAAAATTACAATATTAAAATTAAAGATTATTCGTATTTCTTTTCTCCTTCTTTTTACCAAATAATTCAAACAATACATATTGTTGTAGGACTAAATGTTGGAATTTAGCATTCATGGAAATAAACATTATTTTTTTTTTTTACTATAAAAATTTTTTTCTGTCTATAAATTTTTTAATTGTTTATTTAATTTTTTTTTAGCTTCCATATTAACATAAATTTTTAAAAATGCATTGAATATTAATGTTAATTATTGTAATAAAGCTTACAGAATATTTCAAAATAACCAAGTAAAAATCTAGGTCTTTGGCAGGAAGTCACTGAACTTTCATCGATAGTATCAAACTATCAACTATTGCCCATCTCTAGGCTTGACCCAATTTATCAGATGTTTCTGTACTCATTCATAACGTCTTTATATGGTTTTGATAGTGTTTCTAATTTATAGAAGAAAAACTTAAAATACTTCAAAAAATAAATTATGATCACTTAAATGCCTCTTAATAGAAATCCTAATTCTTAAATAAACGTAGATCCTCCACCTGTGCATGGATCTGACTATAGACTGACATGCAAACACCATTCCTTGATGTCTAAAATGAAAAAAAATTTGATTCTGTGGACAATTTTTTTAACCTTTTGCTAGAATATAAAGCTTCCCTGGAACTGAGAACGCATAATATTGTATTAAATATTATAATATTTTGTTTTGCATTTACTTTAAATTTCCTTTCTCAGGCCTGAGCTGCCAATTTTTAAAAAAAATAATTGTTTTTTTATATATAACTTATGTGTATGGGTATGGTTAGTCAGAAAAAAACAACAACACAATGGTTATTGCATTTTGATAAATACACCGCAATAAATCATAAAAGATAAGAAAAAGAAAGATTTAAAAAAAAGACGCAAGGTCAATGGCTGCATAGGAGCCTTCTGTGCACTATCCTTGATGCGGTAACTTTCGCAGGCATGTGGATGCAGTTTCTTTATTAAAGCCTTTCCAAACGTTTATCCTTTGTTCTTATATTTATATTTATTATTATTGTCTTATACAAATGTAAAAGACATATCCAAACCTTTTTTTTGGCACAAAATCCACCTGATACCAAAAAATGCGAAGTCCTCTGTAAGAAAAGACTTCTAATTTAATTAATATTATTCATGTTCCCCTTTAGATCGGTCGCTACCTTTCTAACATCTGCTTCTCGATTGGTATCCTTCCTACCTCCACTAGAGCATAAAGCAGAACGTACGTCACGTGGAGCCTCTGTGCTCGCCATACGTTATCTCTCCAGCCTATCTCTTGTAGAAATATGACTCAGAGTTCATGTTTGACCATAGATAGCGATGACACACAACTACGCAGCTCCAGTAGACTTTTGGTCAATCGATACGACATTGCCGGAGTCTTTATCTGTCATTATGTAACTCGTGACATTGTCTTATCGGTTATCACCTGCGTTTTTGTGAATGGGTTCCTTGTCCGAGGTATTTCCTAGTTGATCGGTTGTTTCTGAAACTGGTTTAAATTTTATTTTGTTTTTTCTTAGTGATTTCTAAGAAAATATTAAATTACGATTCGGGCAAACTTCCATATGCAATACGTTTTAGATCCGTCTAATCTATAACCTATTTTTCCCCCATACCTCGTCTTTTTGGCGGCCAGACAGGCGGAAAGATTAATACCAGTTTAATGCTCCCGACACCGAGACTCGAACTCGTAATCTTCATATTCCCCGCTCGGCCATCCAGCCCCCTTCCAATCCAGGACTTTTAATGTGTATTATACCTTCCAAGTTTGACCATAACATCTCAATATTCTGTCCTCACTCCTATCCAGTCTATCACTTACCAATAATCCTCTCCAGAAGTTGAAAGGGCAGTGATTCCAAGAACATATGTGTTTATTGGAGTCATTGAAATGAACAGCTTATTTAATTTAATCCCGAGTCTCTATGGCTCGTTCTTCAGGATAAGTATAAATACTGTACAAAGTATGTATAGTAATTATTTGCTGAAGAAGCTATACTGATATGTTGGCATACTCTTGCCTTTTCATTATCGAGTAGAGAAGCTTTCTGTTTATGGAGAAAATGAAGATAACGTTTTTTACGCATTTTTCATTTTATACATAAAGGAACAATTCTATTTTCACGTGTCTGCATGTAGCCAAAAGCATGTGATCGGCATAACGTCATATGGGCGGACCTAACGACCAAACATAAGCATAACGTGTACCACAGTTAATCAATTTTGATGACGTTTTTGATGATTGATATCAAATCCCATCCATTACTTTCGCTTTCTCATGCAAAAAAGTATTTTTCTTAATATCTATATTTAAAAAACATTCAATTTGACCGAAAGTTAAATGAAAATTGAAAGTTTTAATAAAAATGGTCTAGTATAAATTTGATCAAATTATATAACCTATTTTCGTATACACCCGCTAACGTATTTTCCTTGGCACATATATTTCATAAATGGCTTGTCTGAAGTTTGAAGGAAGTTTTTAAACTAATGTACTTATGGTTCATTATCAATTTTATTAAATTGCTTATCAATTACTTTTAGTTAGGCATGCGGAAAAGTGTTACCCTTGACAAGCCTTTACTAGAAAAAAATCTATAGATTTTATTCTGAAACGACAAATCGTAGACACTAAGGGTTAAGTAATTATGAACTCATTAAAACGGAGAGGGAGGTACCTTTACAGACCCAATTTGGCGATTTTTTTATTTTTTTAATAATTATATATAGTGACTTTTGCAGTAAAAATCCGAAAAACGTGCAGTAAAAAATTCAAAATGTGCAAAATCGTGCAGTAAAAACCCAAAATATGTAAAATTGTCTAATTTACACCTAACAACGTGAAAAATCATCTATTAATTTATGAAAATAATACATCGAAATATTATCGCAAAAAAAATTAAAATACAACATTGAAAATTAAAATTCATATTACAATCAACTAACAACACATAATCTAATACAACAATAAATTACGATTAAGCTAAGTGACAAATTTCAAGATTCTGAGTTAATGTTTGTGGAAAAGTTGACAAATGTGATTTTATGAATGTCAATTTGGATTTATTGATGCCGAATTCATGAGAGTCTACGATTCACCTCAAAGCCGGGAGGGATACTTAAGGACTTAAAAGAGAGACAGAGAATTCAAGTCTAAACAAGAAAAGCAGTTTTTTTTATTAAATTATCTGAGGCGAATTCTATTCCACGAATAGTCTGTTTGTACTGTGTTTACTTGTTCTTTTGGTTAAATTCGAATCTTTAACAGTAACAGAATCATTTACCTTCCTCATATTTTTCTTTCTTAAATTATAAATTTAATTTGAACAAGATAGTAAAGTAAAAAAAGTAAATATTTTGCTCACACATATGTATTTATATTTATAAATAATTTAATCTAGCACAAAATGTTAAAAAATGTGCAATTTAATGCAACAAAAATCA